TCTTCAGTACTTTACTAAATGAAATGTAAGTATAGATATATTCTCATCCTGTCTTATTTTTCTCGATACTTTTGTGTCTATTTACGAAATACTACAATCAAAAGAGAAGCAATATATTTCGAGTTTATTCTTATCTTTCCTTAATGAAAGAAAGAGAAAAGAGAGAGAAAATTCTCTCCTTTCCCTTCTCATTCTTTCTCTCTCCTTCCCTCTAATATTTCTACCACTTCCGTATACATGTAATCTATTAAGTGTAACAAAATTAAAATGCGTGTACTTTATATGTATAAATATTCAACAGAATAATATTGTATATACATATGTAAATTTTTTATAATGCCATCACTTCTCGTCCTCTCTTTGAGCAGTCCTTTAAAAAGTCTTTTTCTATAGAATGTTTTAAATCATTTGACCATTCCAATAAACTCAACCTTTAATTAAAAAAAATATATTGCGAGTTTATCAAAGAGAACAATAAAAAAAAGACTACAATAATACAAAACAATGAAATAATGTGTGGTATAAGAGAAAAAAATCAAGGAAATCGATTTAATCTATTTGCACAAACAATAAAAATATTCCACGTTTTAAGAAGCAAATGAAATAACACAAGTAATTAGAAAAAATACCATAAAACTATTGCTTCGTTCTAAAAAGACAAAAGGACAATTTGAATCATTTTTATTTGATCATTATATTTTGACTGTCTGTTTTTTACTAAATTACGCATCGTGTACTATTGTGTTACCAAATATTATGTTAACTAAAACAAAAATAATAATGTAATAAACTTTACAATATTTATCGATAAAGAGCTAAATATTTGACTTTATTGAAGTTATGTTTTACTTATTATTGGATTCTGTTCTGCGAGATATTCTTGGCAATCGATTCATGTAGCTCTTTGAGCGAAATCAAATTTGGGTGTGGGTGTGCGACTAGGCATAAACAGAGTATGCCCACCCCTACACCCACACCCTCAAATATCTGTATCTGTTTTACCTTCCAATGAAGACGAAACTACCAAAGATCTTTTA